AGTGGGTGGGTGGCTGGGTGGGCGGGTCTCCTGTCGGCGCTGCAGAGAATATTTCCTGCCACTATTATAGCGCAAGGAGCAGCGGCTTGTTCGCTGGAAGCTTTGAAATACAAGGCGACGGAAAGCCACCCCCCTCCGCCGTTAGCATGCGAGGCCCTCCCACCCGCTCCTCAGAATTGTTGCACGCGTCCTCCTTACTGCAGCCGAGTTTTCACAAGTGACCCCCAAAGAGCTGTTTAGTTGGACCATGTGAATGAATGAATGCAGTTTCAGACTAAGCATATTTTTTTCTGAGTCGCTCATGGCTTTGTAAAGTGGCGGGGGCAGTCTTCGTTCCTGTGTAGTGTAGTGTCACCTGGATCGAGGTGACTTTTACCTGCAGTACCTTATTGATCTTTGTGCACCAAAATGGCCATAGACTCGATGTATTTGGATTACACAAGTCAGCATTTCATACACCACACAGACACATGTTGCATAACCATTGCCTGAAGATGGTCAGCAGTATGGAAAAAGTCTCATGTGCAAAGGTTGTAGGAACTGAGTATGCTGACTGGAGGAAAAATAGAAGGGGAGGGGAACATGAAGATTTGTCACTAATAAAAGGTCAAAGACTTTCACTGCTGTCCTTTGGGGACAGGATTGTAGTGATGTAAGTACAGGCAACAGATTTTGGTTAAACATTAAGAGAATTCAATAATAAGAGTTTCCCAGTGGAAAAAATTACCTAAAGCAGGGATAAGCAATCTGAGAACCATATGTGGTCTTCGGACTCCATTTTGCAGCTTCTAGACTGACCCTAATTCCAGTAGCATAATTTTTAGTCTTATTTTCTACTTTTAAACCCTAACCTGGAAAAAAAAAATGACACCATCTCTGATGATGTCACTGCTTCTTGGCCACTCCCCTGCAGCCCTAAGAAGCTTTAAAAAATAAAAAAGAAATGAGGGAATAGGAATTGGTAAATTTTCATTCTCAGACATTTCAATGAAACAATTGAACAACAACAAAAAAATAGCACTAGAAGATGTTTGGATAAAAGTTCCCAGGAAATATGAGCTTTTAAATGAAAAGACACTGAAGGTCCTATAGCCTTTCTTTCAACCTATTTTTTTGAATATGGGTTTTCAGCACTTACTACAACCTAGACCTAATATCAATAGGCTGAATGTCACAGCAAATCTAAGACTTCCTTTGACAAATCCCACTCTAGACATTGATGAAATATTCCATCACATTTCACATAATATATGGGAAAATAAAGGGTATTATATTCCCTTTAATTTTTTAAGAAATAGTCATTAAAAATGGTTTGTGTTCCGTGGCCTTAAGTTTAAGAAACACTAAGATAGCTTGCAAAACTTTGTTTCCTTGTGTGGGAGTCCTCTACGCAGCATTTTCTGAAAATAGATGAGCACTGCATATATACATGTTACTGAAATCCTTTGTCCTGCCAGTTATATTCTAAGTAATAAGAAATCCATCTGTGTGGATTACCTTGGTGTACTCCAGTAGAATACCAGTGGCAGAACATGTTCACTTGAGCTACATTCCTAATTCACCCTGCCTATGACAGAGCCAGCCATTTGTCTAGCAGCCAACTGTATTGTCAAGGGCTGATGGGAACTGTGATCAAACTCATCTAGAGGGCACCAACTTAGACTCTTTCAGAGGATACAGGCAATATACCACAGGTGGACAAAAAGGTATCTCATTTTGGAAGGACCCCAAATGTTTAAATGTTCTTTGCATTGAATTGCTATTGGTTGTTTTTCTTTTTTAAATATTATCTTATTACAGGAAAAGTTAGACATTTGTCCTTGGTCTTATTTGATATATCTTTATGTTCTGTCCTTCTGCAGCAGTGTTTTTCAAACCTGGCAACTTCAAGATGTGTGGACTTCAACTTCGAGAATTCCCCAGCCACCACTCAGGGCAGCTTACAATGAATAAAACAAGTTCAACATTTCATTTAAAAGATAGGGAAGTGGTGGTCCCTAAGAGACTCTGGATCCTTTATGGCTTTAAAAGTCACCATCAGCACTTTGAATTCTGCCTGGAAACAAATGCAACATCCTCATTGTTTTATTTTGGACAAACGGCACTTTCCTGAGATTCCACAAAGGTAGCCCCCAAGTAAAGTGTGCCGTAATTGCAATAATCCACTCTAGTTGTAGCTAAGGCATGTACTACCATAGTTTATGCCTGACTCATTACAGACAGATGCTATTGGCAAATAGGTTTAAGCTGGGTGAAGACTCCTAGTTGCAGCTACTAGCTAGGCCTCTAAGAGCAAACCTGAATCCAGAAGCATCCCCAGAAGGGAAGTTCTACAGAATGAGTACTACTTCCAGCAGAATTGGATGAAATCCCATGTCCAAATCCTCACCTGGAGCAGCTCTATCTTATCTAAAGTAAGTGTCAGATTGTCAGTCTCATTCAGCCATTACTGCCATTAGACTTTGATCCAGAGCATCAACAGCATTCTAAATAATAGCAGGTAGTAGGTGAAAAAATAGAAGATACATGTCACCCACATATTGTTGGGAGTGACTTCCAAGTCTCCTGTTAATTTTTCTCCAGGTTTTCACATAGATGTTAAATAATGTGGAGACAAGACTGAACCCTGAGAAACACCATATGCCAATGTTTGGGGGCTGAACATGTCCCTCAACATTACTTTCTAACATTAACCTCCAATGAAGAAATTGAATCCTTGTAAGATGGTACTTACTGTATTTACAGAAGAAAATAGATCAGGAGGCATGGGCCAACCTGATAACTTAGCAGGAACATCAGGTAATTCTTATACAAAAACAAGTGCAATTACATGACTCTACCTAGTTTCTCCTCCTGCCTTGGGGAATTGAAAAACCTGCTTGTTCACCAAGAACTTCCTGTCTCTGTGACAGCAACAGTCCTAAGCAGTGAGAATCAAGCTGTGTGTGGCACAGAATGCTGGATTAGATGACTTGTTGGCTGTTGGCTTGACCCAGCAGAGCTCTTTTTGATACACTGAGGATTGCTATTTTTTAGATCATTTTTTAAAAAGCTTACTGTATGATGCTTTTCTCTAAGTGCACAACTAAAATTGAAACAATAACTTAGCAGCATTTGAGGGGAGGGGATGTGGTTACTTTAAGTTGTCTTGGACAACTTAAATGTGTTTGCATCTGTGAGGAGACTTTTGTAGGGTAAAACCTTCTTCTACCAGAAGAAGGCTGGGCTGAGCACATAATTAACAGGGATAGGCAGTGCAGGCTAGCTGGGATGGAGTGTAAAAAGGAATGTAATTCTTAGTTCAAACAGAGACAATGTTTGCTTGCATATCCAACCTTGCATATTAAATAAGAACAGCAACCCCAAATGGATAAACAGTTTCTATAAGAGAATCACATATCCTTTTTATTTCTGCATCATATTAAAACTTTAGCTTCCACAAAAGAAAAGAAAAAGGCTTTGTCCATGCAGTCACTTCAAGTCAAACCTGTCTCAGTGGCGTCTAATTAACAAATGAATTCTAATGCATCTGCTCTACTTAGCAAAGCTGTAAAGTCTATCATATAGTTAGAGGGCAATGGAGAAGTGAAGGGGTTAAATATGAATTTGGTAGAGAACATGGAGAGTGAAAGGAGAACAGCAAAGAATGCTGAGATGTTGGGGAGAAAGTACAGAAGGCAAAAGAAAAGGATAAAATCACAGCAAAACAAAATTCACTGTGCCCAAAAAAGAATAATAATAAAAAAAAACCTATTATTGACCAAAATTAAATGGGCTGCTATGTTTTTACAATGAACAGCCCATTATTTTTCTGCCCTTTCTGCAAACACCTGGGGGCTCCAGTCTGGCCAGTTCCAGAGGGTGTGAAGGTTCAAAGACGTGCCAGTATTTGCTTTTGCTGATTTTTAAACACCAGAAACCACAGAGAAGACAGGATGAGGCAGTTCAAATTTCACTCACTTCCCAACATGGGTGCAAGTTGCTCCCAGCAAGGGAGGACCAGTCTCAAGCAGGGCAGATGAGAGAAGAAACACAGATCATCATTATTATTGTTATTACACTGAAAGGTTGCAGCATAAGTTAGAGTTCATTGTGCTTGGGTAGGGCACAAGCATGGAATCCAACAGAAAACAAGAACAGCAGCTGTAGGCTGCAAAACCAAGTGGACTTACCTGAAAGAAAGTTGCTGTGCAGTGAGCGAGGCACAATTTCCAAGGAAATATGTTTGGATTGTGAATTTAAAAGGTTCTGGGGATGGATTTATGCACCTATAAAAAAATGCAAGTTGCCCTCCCTGTAACTGGCTAACAATGTTTTTGGCATCTGTCCAGCTCTGGCCTTCTCTTATTTGCTTGATTATAGCCCTGACTCTTTGGTTCAGTGTTTCCCTCTTATGGCAACATCAGGAATTCATGTGCCATATTTTTGGAATATCATTATCTCTCTTACTTTTAGTCACCCATATCCTCAGAATGAGACAGCTGTTATCCCCGTAGTTTCTCAACTGCTATAATTGTGTGTAGAAATTAATAGTTACCACGTTTGGGAAGGATTTCCAAGTGATACACTTTTTCCTTCTTTTAGAACTGCTTTTCTGGCATACCTATATTATTTTACTAATATATCTGTCAATAAGACATGTATCCCAAGTGTATCATCACCCTCTTCTGCAGTATCCTCCAAATTTTGTACTATTTCCTATGAAACAGGGTCTCATGCTAGATTATATCTGCCATATATTCAGTCTTTCCAACTGATGCCCTTTAGATATATTGGAACAATTTCTCAAATTCCTAAAAAATAATATTGCTACCAGATACTAATA